CAGACTAGCTAGCCTCGGCCTAGCAAGTTTAGTCTGTAGCAAGGGTGTCGATCCGTGGCTGAAAGTAGGGGGGGGGGAACGAGATGAAAAAGCAATTGTTCGGGACCAGGGGCGAAGCCCTGGAAGCTCTGGTGCATATAGCCTTTTAATTGATTTTAAGCAATGCAATTAACATTTATTTCCATACAAAATTTTCAAAATATCCAGTGGCGGATCCTGTAATTTGAAATAGAGCTGGGCCCAGAGAGGGACTTTTACAGGTGGAGAGTGTAGCTGGACTACCACCTCAGCCCCACCATGGTTGGGGCTGAGGTAAGAAAATTTATGATTATGGCACCTCCAGTTGGTCAGAAATGGCAGTCTCAGACTGAATTTGAATATAATTTTAATTTTTCTCCACTTTTAAATTTCGAAAAAAAAAAAAAAAATAGTGATGGTGGACCGGCTGGGCCCCTTGAATCTGCCACTGAAATACTCATCATAAAAAGTTTTTAAAATTATCCTTTTTAGTCATAATTATGCCCGCTTATTTATTTCATGCAAACTAACATTCATAAAAATAATGATTTATTATCTACTGATTAGCTCGTAACGTATTCAAAATTCGAACTATGAAAAACAAGTAAGATAAACTTAAAACGGTCATTAATTTAGTCTTTTTGCATGTACAGTACTTTTAAGATCAATCAAGAGGTTTTTGCTTTTCTCCTCTTTTTGAATTTCACTTTTGTGTAAGTAATATTGCGATAAATTATTGTGAGTGGAAGTAATACCGTCTAATTTACGATCAAACAGGACTAGGGAGATAAGGGAGCACACAAAATATTAGTTAGCATTTTGATTTCACAAACATAAAGGTGATTTACTTAATTTATCATTATCAGTGGCGGCTCCAGGAAAGCAAATTAGAGGGGGGACAGGGAGGGACTTGCACGTTGGGAAAGAAGATCACCTCAGCCCCACCATGGTTGGGGCTGAGGAAAGAGAATTTATGATTATGACATCTAGATTGCCAGAAATGGCATTCTCAGACCTAAATTCTAATTATAATTTTCCTTTGTTTTTTTTCCTTTTTTTAAAAAAATAATTTTGAAAAAATTAGGATCGGCTCAGCCAACTGGAATCTGCCACTGATTATTATGGCATCATTGCAAGACTGTGTCAAGGTAACACTGGAACTAACTTTCGGTTTAAAGTGGGGTTTTAATAATAGAAGATTGGTGAAAAGTGGGCGGACATCATATCGATTGTCTCCCCCCCCCCACTTTGAAAAGTGGGGGGACGCATCCCCCTGTCCCCCACAGATCAACACCCATGGTCTTTAGAGCCCAAAGCTAAGCCAGCTGCCTATGGTGTACGCCTAGGACCATTTCGGTTGCGATGTATTGAACACATTTTTTTTTTAAAAGTTTTTTAGACTTGCAGTATAATTATGCTCGTTTAATTGAATCCAGTCAGAATCATTAACATATTAGGATTTAATACTATCACAGATACCATGACTTAAACAATTACTGTAAAATGCAACCTAACATGTTTAACATCAAAAATAGATAATCAAGGAAAAATTTTCAGAATAACAATTTGTATTAATAACAGGAAAAGTACCCAAGTTCTTAATAGAAGATAGTCCCATTATACAATAATTTAAATAACACTTTAAAAAACAAAGTGAATAAAGGACCCAGGAAGCATTTATCTATAAAGTATCTGGATAGTGTATATTTTAATAAGACAAACAAAACACTTAAATTTCCTGATTTTCTGGATGATAAATGCATCGCAGCCTACATTGTAGGCTTCTCTTGTCCATCCAACATAGATGTTTTTTACCTTTCCCACTGTCTTTTTATTATTTTTGGTAAGTCAATGCACATATTTATTATATAATTAGTATTAGGATATTTATTAGTCTTGTAATCAATTAAATTGATTGAAACATACAATACATGGCGGCCAAACTTGTTCGCAGCTTAAATGATCCTACACCAGCCTACTGCACCAGCCCAAGCTACAGTACCTACAGTAGGCTTAGACTTTCCGCTGGCTAGACAATACTGTACTACTACTACTACTACTTCTTTCTGTTCTTTCTTACAATAGTACAATCTGTACTACAGACTCATTGTTACAGACAGTTTCAGTACAGTGTCAAATTTGGGTACAAGTTGGATTGGGTAGGAGTTGGCAGACACCCCTCAAAATCTTCACCACTCTGGCTACAACTTCATTTATCCAATATTTGGGAAATAAAATCCAGCTTCAAAATGACTCGTGTAAGGACATTGAAGCAACCTGGATTACAGTATAGTAAATCAAAACTGCAAAGAAAGACCACGGGAAAATATTAAAATCAACAAATTTGACATGTTTTTCCTCCATTTATTTTTATTACAAATGGTACATGCTTATTATCATTATAATACAGTAATAGAAAATTTGTGGACATAGACCAATTTTTTTGTATTTAAAACAATATTTAAAAAAGTAAATACAGTAAATAAAGCATGTAGGTCAACTAAGCTAACCATGCTAAAATTTGTATAACACAGAGGAACCTACAGTACACTTTTGTGATGTTTTTATGAGGTTGAAACCACCGACAAGCAGTGGTTAGTAGGTACTGTAAATGACTCACAGGCATTTGAATAGTGCCATCTGGCCTACTATATTAAAAGTGAAATGAGGATTAATATAAGTCAGTCATTTTGTGTTTATTTCTTTTCTCAGTTTCAGAGGTATAATGGCAAGCTAGTCTAGATCACCCGATGGATGTGGCACCAAAAAAATGTGGGGTCAAACTAGATCCACCAATGCTTGTCTTGACATATGAAAATGCTTCAAAGAAGTTGCGAGTAAGGTCAATGCCGCTCAGGAACTTTACCAAAAACAGCAACATCCCTCGTTTTGCCACAGAACTAAAGAACAATCCCAGACACAAGCAATACCTAGAACATGTTAGTAAGTTTCAGATTGAGAAGTTACTTAAAATTGTTCAGGAGGTCCTGCGTGGCTCAAGTCTGAATGAGAGTTTAGATATTACAAAAAAGGAATATGAAATCGACCCAAATGAGGATTTGAATAAATTGGACGATGAGGATCTGCAACGGAAGAAAACCGCGATGAATAACAGTTATGAGATGAACCGGAGAAAGCCAGGTGATCCAGACTATCAGTACGACATAGAGGTTGAATTTCCGGCAATGAAAAATGAGGGCATTGAAACAAGTGCATGGGATTCAGGATCAGATTTATCAGATTTCTGAAGTTTTTCAACATATTTGCTAAACAGTTTTTCTTTAAAGAAAAAATCATATGAAATAGAGGATATAATGTAAATAACTTGTTTCACCTGTTCACATATGATTTTGCCTGCTTCCATTAATAATCACCATTAACCACCGATAAAACCCTCTACTGCCCTCTATAATCTTTTATACCTTCCTACTATATTATTTTCTTTGCTATTCTGAAATGAATAGATATTTATTTTGTAATACATAATGATGACTTAATTTTTTTTTTTATTTAAATGCAAATTCATTCTCATATTTATTTTGTAATACATTATTGTATATACTGTAGTTGAATTAAATGGTTTTTTTTTGGTTTTTTTTATTTAAATGCAAATTCATATTCTCTTGTTATGTAGAATTCATAAAAACCCATCTGCCATTTTCTCTTAGTTGGATTTATTTTAGAATAGTTTCTCTTTATACAGTTTTTCCTGGAAGGTAATATTTATTCAGCTACACAGTATTTACTGTAATATATCAGATCTCAAGTTATGGACACTATAGTAATACAGTATAGAATGACAATACTTTTTACAAAAAGAAATGTTAACAACTTTTGCTTTAGCTTGAGAGATACATTTGGGGTACAGTACTTTTAATTTTTTAATTTTTTTTTTTGTAGTGAAAATTTCAGAATATTTTGGGTTCAGACTTTGATATAAGGCTGCTAAATTGTTGACTAATAATTAATTATTAAGAAGTATTAACAAAATTAGTACAGCATTACATATTTGAAAATATGATTATATATATATATTTGTTTTTGTATTTTGGGTGTTGGATTTTACAGTATTTGTTAGGTTTAAATAATCTTTCTGATATATTACTGTATAAATGTTGAACTAGAGTACAAAATTCAAATCTGAAATGATTTGTTGAAATATTGAAATTTACTTTTTTTTTATTCAATAAAATATATAATAGGAGTTGGTAAGGTATTTCGAATACAATACATCCACCTATAGACAAAGTTTTATTAATGTGAGGAAATATGCCCACAATAATAGTGGTTATAACATTAAACAATGTGTTAAGATATTAGCAATAAATTTGCTGTGTGTGTGCTAATACCATGCATAAAGTGTGCAATAAATGCTCCACATATTTTTGTTTAAGGCGATTTTGATGTACAAGAATTTTTTCAATTACAATTTAAAATAAAGTGTTTTTACAATGATAACATTTTCCAGAAATCGAATGGTTACAGTATGTTCTTTATGATGATGTATTGTTATGTTTATTTTTAAGATCCGTGTTATGCTGACATCAGCATTGTATGTGTGGGTATTTTTAAACGCTGTGATGACATCAGCATTATTTCTCTTATGTAAATAAAGTGTTACTAATGAACTTGATATCTACAGTTCTGTATTTGAATTCTTATTCCAGTTTTTTAAATATTGTATCCCATGTTTGGGAGTGCTGATTCCCGCCCCCGCCCCGTCGGGGTTAAAACAAATTATATATTATGTTTTTTATGTATATTAGACTCTTAACATCCATTAAATAAGCCATTGAAACTCCATATATTCTCGAAGACTTTGAGCGACGCCCGACCACGCCCTCTTTTGCTTTCATCGAGGAAATCGATTCTCTCCCCCCCCCCCTTTGGACCCTGTCTGGCAAATCCTGGTGCCACCCCTGTCACGCACTAAGGAATGGTGTGCTTTCCCAACTCATCCCCGGAAGCTCCCACACAGAATATAATATATTGAGTTTGGGAGTGCTGATTCCCGCCCCCGCCCCGTCGGGGTTAAAACAAATTGTATATTATGTTTTTTTATGTATATTAGGCTCTTAACATCCATTAAATAAGCCATTGAAACTCCATAAATTCTCGAAGACTTTGAGCGACGCCCGACCACGCCCTCTTTTGCATTCGTCGAGGAAATCGATTCTCTCCCCCCCCCCCCTTGGACCCTGTCTGGCAAATCCTGGTGCCACCCCTGTCACGCACTAAGGAATGGTGTGCTTTCCCCCAACTCACCCCCGGAAGCTCCCACACAGAATATAATATATTGAGAGGTAAATGTTGTTCGCTAACGGACACGCCCCGCCCACCACGCGTAGACTGATGTATATTTTTAACTAATAAAGTCCACTTTGGATGGGTGAAATTCCTTTTGGATAATGTTATTGAAGTGTCGACCTTTGTTTAGTTGTCTTTTAATCTCCCATTCACATATATGAGAATATGATTAAATATTTATCATAAGCGTAGGCCTACATATCGTTGTTGTTGGCGATTGGAAATCTCAGATAAACGATAAGCAGGGAAACACGCCGCCGCCAACAACATGCAAGTTTGATCACTAATCACTTATTTATCTTGATACAGTAGTCCTCTCAGGCCCCAGATGGCACTTTCTTCCCAACCCTTTGTTTAAACCATCCTTGAACTCGTTAAAGCTATCGTCACCCTTCGAATCAAATACATTTCTTGGCCAGTATTTTTATGGACCTGTCAAAAACTTTTGATATAATGAACCATGATATTTTGATACAAAAGATTCATCATTACGGTATAAGGGGCACATGCCTAAAATGGTTCATGAATTACATAGAAGGTAGAAAACAATTTGTCAGCATAAATGATACAAAATCATCCCTATCTGAAATTGTAAGTGGGGTCCCCCATGGGTCGATCTTAAGCCCTTTACTATTTCTTATAAACGAAACTGTATATACTGTACAATGTTAGTAATGTAGTTAAGGTAATCTCTTACGCGGGTGATACCACTGTCTATTATTCAACTAAACATATTACCATAGAGGAATTTAGTTTAGTTGAATTCCTCCATGATATTACTAACTTAACCCATACATTGAACTTTAAACTTTCCAAATTCAATGAATGGTTTAAAGCATATAAATAAATAAAAATATAAATAAATATAAATAAAACAAACTGTTATTTTTCAACCACAGAACAATTCAAAGCAGTCACAAAATATCTTTATCGAAATAAATGGTACCTATATTCCGTATTCATGCAACAAAATATCTAAGGTCATTGGTATCATCTGCAAAGTCAAAAACACATTTCCTGTACATACACTAATAAGTTTATATAACGCTTTTATCTTGCCACATCTCCAATATTGAAACGTTATGGAGAAATGACTACGGTACACAACACATTGAGAAGCTACGTACTAAGTTACAAAAAAATAGCTGTGTCAGATAATGTCAGTATTTTTATTATTTGACATTACATCAAATTTAGGTAAAGTAAATGCAGGAAAGTTATTGTGTATGGTTGGCCAGCAGATTAGAGGCTATTTTGGAGTGGAGGTGGCAATGGAAGTACTACCGGCTAATTTTGATATTTTCTGAAAATATAGGTCTTGAGAAGTTCAGAACTCAAAATTACCCAAAATCCCTTTGGGGGAACACCTCCAAATTACGCATTCAAAATGGCCGCCATTTTTCCGCTTTAAATTATAGTTTTAGCTATATAATATAAAAAAATAACATTACTCGAATAATCATCATCAACAATTGGTGAAACTTACTCAAAATATTCGTTAATTATCGAAAAAGAATCTTGCGTTTAGAAAACTACAATTTCAATCACCATAGCAACCGTTGCTATGCAAATTTAAATTTCCTATTTTATTCATGAAATTTAAGTATACAGGAAGCCTAAAGTTTATTAAAATCTTTATTTTCATAGGTTTTATGAATATGTTTAACATATGAATTATCTATTATTATCGTAGAATAGACTTTGATATAATTGCATAGCAATACTCTTTTTATCGTCCATAGCAACTAAGCAAAATCAGCAGAATTGCTGTACATTTGTCATTGACTAAGCAAAAATCATGAGATACAATATGTTTATATAATAAACATCTCTTATTGAACAAAGTTAACACATTGATGTATAAAATACAAGGTCATCACCATAGCAACTGTTGCTATGCAAATTTAAATTCCCTATTTTATTCATGAAATTTAAGTATAAGGGATGCTTAAAGCTTACCGCATTGAAATCATCATTGTCATAGGTTTATGAATATTTTTGTATTTGGGTTATGTATGAGCAATATTTAAAAAAAACAATCAAACAAACACCTTTACTGAAGTGCTACGGAACTTTTATAACTCCATAGCAACGAATGAAATTCACATAATTGCTGTTATTATTTATCTCAAGAAAAATATTATTAGATTCACATCTAGATGTTATAGAAAAGTGAATTTAATGGTGTAATAAAATACAAGGTCATCACCATAGCAACCGTTGCTATGCAAATTAAAATTTTCTAATTTTTCATAAAATAAGTATATAATGAAGACCTAAATTTTGGGAATAAATAAACTATTATAGGATTTACGAAAAATGAATGAAATGTTATTGTCTTTTCAAATAGTAGTTGGTCTATCAATGCTTTTAATTAAGGTTTTTGTAAATTTCATTAATAAAATATAAAATAATATATAGGCCTAATATGGAAATTTATGCTAAAGGAGAATGTTTATTCACAATAACCATGCAAAGTCAACAAAATTATCTTCTCTCATAAATCAAGAAAAACATTTAACTTTTATATAATAAGCAGACGGCTAGTGCTCATTTACGTTACAGAAAATGACATGTAGATATTTTTGAAAAGGTCATAGGCCTATATGTGGTATCAACGGCGGCGGAAGCGGGTGGGGGGAACCCAGTTTTTCTGCTGGGGGGCCTCCCCGTTAGACAACTTGTTTATTTGTTATTATCATTATTATCATTATAATTTTTTTTTTTTCATTTTCTAACGAGCATTACAAGTTCCCTTTTTGAGTTGAGTAACCAAATGTTGATTGATGTCTGTATACGCGCGTCTGTAAAGTTTCCTTGAATCAAGCATGAAGAAAAAATCGCCTGCCTTCGTGAATTCTGTACTTAGGAATAAAGGGGAAGGTAGGCACTCTTAATGGAGCGACGCTCTAGTTCCCTTTATGCTAACCACGAAGATGTATAGCTGTCTCTTATACACATCTTGTAAGCGGAATACAACCACAATTAAACTCCATCTAATTTAACGAAAACAATAAGATAATTAATTAGGCCATTTTTAAAAATAAAGTTCTCTGAAGGTTAACTACAGAATTTACACTTTAATGTGTTATAGGTTGTAACAACTGTATTGAGTAAAAAAAATCTTTCGAATAAAAATATCTTTCGCTTGACATTAGGAATTTGTGATACAAAATGATAGGCTATTTCAAGTGTTATATTGTCAGCACGGGCCCTGAACCTCCTAATTTTTTCAAAATTATTTTTAAAAAATTGGAGAAAACAGACAAAATTGTATTCAACTTTTAATCTGATAGTGCCATTTCCGGCCATCTGAAGGTGCCATAATCATAATTTTTCTTACCTCAGCCCCAAAAGTTGTGCGGATTAGGTGGGTGGACATTTTATTTGCGCAAACCCTGCCTGGGTCCCCTCTTTTTCGACTTCCACCCGCCACAGGTGGAGTATCATTTCCGGGTTACATAGAGGGGTAAATTTTATCCATCGGAGGAAAAGTGAAGTTGTAGTCGGGGAACCCATATCAAGGATAACCCTTATGATAATTAATTCATTGAGATCGTGGAAGCAATCTCGACTTCGACTTTGTTCTGAAATCTGTGACGCATTCAAGGGCGGGGGATAAATTGTTAAATTTTTTTTTAAATGGAGATATAACGAAAATTATATTCAAATTTAAGTTTAAGAGTGAAATTTCCCGCAATCTAGAGGTGCCATAATCACAAATTTTCTCACCTCAGCCCCAACCATGGTGGGGCTGAGGTGGTATAGATCTTCTATCTGTGAAAGTACCCTCCCTGGACCCTTCTATATCGAATTCCTGGATCCGCCACTGGAAATTACAACAAATATGTCATATTACAGTAGCTTAATAATGCCAGTGTGAACATACTGGACGTAGGTTATTTGTAGTAAATTATCTTATGAATTATATCTGGGATATACATCTTGTGATATATCACATACACAACCTGTGCATGTTATATGAAATACTGTATGATAAAATTAGTTATTCCCATGTTTTAACCCATTAATGAACAAATTGCTTCCAATAGCTTGTCTATACAACTATCTACGTAACACCTTTCAATGTAATACAACCCAAATACTCGTGAAATAATCAGGGTAACCAATTGAAGTTGTGGGTATACGAGGGCATTGGCAAAAATAATGGATTTTGCTGTGGGGGTGGCGGAGAATGGGGTGCTGAATCGACACCAATCACTGACGATAAAATACTCCATGCCTTTAACAAAGAAATCTCTTTTCTCAGCCCTGACTTCAACAAAGGATTTTTCTGGTCTCAGCTAGAGCACAATAAAGGTCCAC